TGTGAATCACTAAGTCACTAAATCAAATGTCAGACAATCGTCATGGAGACGCCTCTGTGTATTTGTCATCGTGGCAGAATACGTGTGTCGACGGCTGGTGGAGACCTGCTTGGTCCCCCACATATCTACTCTGAGATACAAGACGTGTCTAGAATGTTCCATAGAGGATGAATGACCGCATGCGGTGTGGTTCGCAGACAGATGAGCTGCACAGATCTTACTGGTGATGGTTCTGATGGGGAAGGTGTTTGTGGAGATCAGGCTTCCTTCCAAGATGGTGGGATAATCACTACAGAAATCACTAAGGAAGAATGGCCGTGGACCTGGTCCTCACCTGGACGCACCACCTTCCAGGGACACCTTTTCTCTCATCCTGTCTTGGGCTTTCTCTGCTGAGGAAGTTTCCAAACCTAGATCCCCCCGACAGAGGCCGACCACATCATCCCCCAGATGCAGCCGCGCTAGGCTTCCCTCCCCGGCCGCAGGCCGAGAAGAGACGTCCACGTGGCTATAGCCACAGGAACCCCCCTCTCCCGCCAACTGTGGTGCCAGAGGGTCAGTGCACGGGGCTCAGAGACCAGCTCCAAAATTCAACATTAATGCCGGTGGAGGCTGACTAATGGCTGCCCCAAGACACCAAATCTTAATCCATGAAACCTGCAAATTACCATATTTGGAAAAAGGGTCCCTATTGATGTGACTAAGTTACGGATAGAAATGAAGAGGGTGTCCTGAACTATGTCTGTGCGTGGGTCCCACATACCACCACACACGTCCATGGAAGAGAGAGGCTGATGGAGGGAAAGAGGCGGAGACAGACAGACACAGAGCGGGGGTGGGGGGGGCGTGGAAACAGGCAGAGGCGGAAATGACACATCTCCAAGCCAGGGCCCCCTGGGGCCACGGAAGCTGAAGGGTCCTGGAGGGTGCACAGCCCTGCCAACACCTGGTGGCCTCCAGCAGGTCCATTTCCAGGATTTTCTGCAAGCCAGCGAGCGTGCCGGCACTGGGTTGCCGCAGCCCTGGGAGACTAACACCGGGCTGCCGTGTCACGGTACAACCCTGTGCGGGCGGGAACCACACTGAGAAATGCAGCCCTGTGCTTCCGTCACCACCCAGCGAAGGCAGACGTCCCCGGACCCACGCGGGCTGCTGATACTGTGATCGGTTCGTTTCTGGATGTCAAGGTGCAGGTTTGCCGACTCTTGGGCTCAGGTGCTCTGCGGTGAAAAACACGAAGAGTCCAATGTCTGTGCACATGAAGAGACCTTGAACACAGGTTATGGGTACACAGGGCTGAGTCTTCCGAGGGTTTATGTTTTAAGAGGGCTTCTTCCCTTCCTGCAGACTCAGGATCCTGCTTTCAGTGTTCAGAACGTAAAGCTCTTCCTGAAGTCATGACTAGGACGGGGGCAGATCTGGATGTGTTCACATCCTCCTGTGGATGGAGACTTCTGATTCGCCCCAGGAGGTTTGCAGAGAAGGTAACACTGTGTTTTCTGAGTGCCTGGATCTGTATAATGTGCCAACAATGTGTTACCATCTCAAGGATGATGATGAAAGCCCGGGTAGCAGGTGATATCTAGGACTTAAGTACATTATGCACTTGAACTTGAACTTGAGGCTTGGTTTTTATCTTCAGTCATTGGACGTCTGCTTCCAGAAGAACGATCCCAGGAATTTGTGCCTCTCTTACTTTGACAACTTCCAGCCAATGGGAGGAAAAGTAAATGCAGGCCAGATGCTCCTTCCTGGGAGGAGGAGACCTGTCTCCCCATAACGCAGGACGTCTGGCAGCAACACTCAGAAGCTCGTTGTCCTGGGCCCAGAGGGGGAGGCTGCACGAGCTCCCCATCCGGCCACCAGGCCCTGAGTGGCTCCTGGGAAGCTGATTTCAAATTACAAAACCAGCACATAACGAATGAGATCACTCAGATACACGCAGGAGGCTCCTCAGAAACGAGTGTTTCCCTCGGGCCAAGATGAGTGAGTAAAGGACAGACAGACCTGGAAGGAACCTAACGAAGCGTTGTAACACGCCTCCTGAAGGGCACCCATGAGTGTGGTGCAGAACAGGGAGCGGGTGGGAGCGCCATCCTGACACGCGGGGCAACTGAACATAAGCAGCAGGAACAGCCCGTGCTGGCCACAGCCTCCCATCCGCCCCAGGCCGCTCGTGCCTCCCTCTGAGGACAGATAGTGTGACCCGCCCGTGAGCGTAGGAATCATGAACGAGCTCCCCTCGCCCGGCGCCTCCTGCCTGCACTCTGTCTGGCCTGTGGGTTTAGACCAACAGACGTTCTGTGAAATGACCATCTTTCCTTGCGCGCTGACCGATTTGCACGGTCGAGTCAGCGTTCCTGCGACAAACTCGACAGTCAGTCCCGACGGTGCCTCCCGCGTGTACCACTGGCACGAAGATTTCGTAAACACAAAGGCGCAGCCTCTCTAGGGTAGATTCAGGGACAGAAGCAGAGAGACAGAGAGCAGGGAGGGAGGGAGGGGGAAAACTGTCGATCCTGCAGGTTGCTTTGGGAACTTTTCTCCCAAGCAAGACTTAGGGAGGGAACCCTGAAACCCGGAGCCCCAAGGACACACAGTAATCAACTGCACATACATGAAACCAAATCTGCTTCACACAGAAGGGACTCTGACCCTGATGTGTGGGCTGCTTCCTCCACTCCCAGGACAGCAGGAGGTGAGCAGGCCGTCCACTCATAATGACACTGGGAAAGGTCCATGCAATCTCAGTGGGGCGCTGTGATCCCCACGATGTGGGGGACTCCCCACAAACCAGCGCTGGCCCTCACCCCTTCCCCTGACAAAGGCAGGCCTCCAACGAGACGCTGTCGCTACCGAGAGCACAGGAAGGAACAGAACGGCGGGTGGGACAGCAAACCAGGTGCAAAAGCAGGACTGGGGCTGCTTCCTGAGTCAATGCAGATCTCACCCCATGTTTTCCACTGGCCACAGAGGTGATGTGGAAGATCGTGGCTGGACCTACAATCTCATTTCACGACGCACATGGTCGTTGATAGGGCCATTACAATTGGAAATCGACAATTTTCATACTGTGATTTATGGAGTCGTGATTTATAGCCTGAGCCACTTCCCTCCCCACACACTTCTCTGCTTCAGCACACACACCAACCAGCTGGGACCCGAGCTGCAGGAAGGTGGGTCAGGGCTGGGCAGTAGGGGGGCTGTCCAGCAGCCAGTGCCTTTTCTCTCTGCCTGCATCCGTGTGCAGAGCTGGAGGACCCACGCGTGGACGCCCTGCCAGGGCTGCAGCCGAGCCTCTCCAAGCAGGCATCTGTGTGCAAGCGGGGCACTTTCCACCGCAGAGAGGACACACAGGGAGCCAGGTGTGACATGGACATCCATGTATCCTGGGAGGCTCTCCCCACGTGCAGAGGGGTGGAGAAGCAGGATTGTGCACTCTCCCTCCCTGGTCCGGAGGAAGAGGGGCAAGGGAGGGAGGGTCCGAGAGCGGAGGGCAGGGGGAGGGGGGCGGGGGGACCCAGCCGGCATGCCTCTCTTTGCGGCTGGTCACTCCTGACCTTGGCCACTGCCTCCCTCTGCCCAGCAGGGCCACCTCATGGCCCACAGGCCAGACCGTCCCCCTGCCCAGCTCTCCGTGTGGGTGGCTGCCGGAGGGAATTGCTTCAAGGAACGGGAACACGCTGACTTGGCTGGAATTAGCCCAGGACGCCTGGCACTGCCCATCCATGACCAAAAGATGGTCGCCGGGTGACTATGGTCGGGAGTCAGGCTGTTGCAGCATGCAGACTCGGACAGCGTGTGTGCAGACGGTGGGAAGCCCCTGGGTGGTGGGCACACCGGTGGCCGCGGGAGGACCTGGATCTGTGGCTTTGCCGGTGGGAGCTGACGGGACGCTGCCCTCAGGAGGGCCTGGGGTGCTGGGCTGCCCCTGGACACAGGGCTCACTCCCTCACATCTGCTGCAGGCCCCCCAGGGCCAGCCGCACCCTTCGTGACACCCCGGCGGAGCCACCGGTGAGGACCCTTGGCCCCCTCCCACCCGGGTGCGTGGTGGGGTCTCCGTGGGGAGCGGCAAGCAGTGTGGGCCCGGAGGAGGGGTGCTCTGGTGGGGCTGGCTCTGGGAAGGGGTCGTGAGGAGGGGCAGTGGGGCTGGGAACAGAATATCCCACAAGGCTGTCACCGAGGTGAACCGCAGGGCTGGGGCCTCCTCTGCCCAGCCGGGCCACGCCCACATTGCTGTGCACAGAGCCGCACCACAAAGTCCGCGGCTCCATGGCATGTCGGGGCCTTTCCTCCCGCCCACCGGCACCTCCCCAAGGTCACCTTCGAGGGCGGACGGAGCAATGCTACAGGATGGCGGGGGGAAAGCCAGCAAGGGCCCCCCAGCAGACTCAGGCCACAGGCAGGGCGGAGGCCAGGCAGAGGTCAGAGGCTGCTGCCCCGAGTAGGGACGCCGAGTGCCCCCTTCTCTCCAGTGCGCTAGGAACTGGGGCTACTGGGGCTGTGTCGTCCCGATGGAAACCAGTGTGCAAGCTGACACGGACAGACTGTGGAAGAAGGGCTGCACTGAAAATTCCGGGGGCCCCGTGCACGGGACTGGCCTTGGGGCAGTGCTCGGTATCCAGTGCAGTCCCAGGGACCCGCCGCCGTCATCCTGAAATCCTCCATAACTACTGAACACGGGGACGCGTGTTTTCATTTCAGAACAGGCCTCAAAACTTCGGAAACCACTGCTGTTTCTGGGATCACATCACTTGATTCATTAGCCTATGCTCTTAGGTCTCTCTAGTTTGCGTTAGCTTTTTCAATCTCCTTAACCAAAACGATAGCCCTCAGGGCCTGTCTGGGACCGTAACAACTTCCAAGGTAAAAGTCCCAAGTTCCATGTGAAAATGGGCAGCAGGGCAAATCCAAGCCTGATCTCCCAGCAGCCAGCCGCGGGGGCCCTGCCTGGGCCGGGCACCCTGACGCCTGGCTATGCGCTTTCTCTCTTGACAGGAGTGAGCCTTGCCGAGGCACGCCAGCCGGGGAAGTCTCCACACTTCAGCGTGAACTGGGTGATGGGCAACGCGGATGTGGAGGTTATCGACGGCACCACCGGGAAGAGGAGCTGCGGGGGCTCGTCGCGGCTCTGCAAGCACGTGTTCTCGGCGCGGTGGGCGAGGCTTTATGGAAAGGTACAGCTCCACTCTGGGGGAGGCCGGCCCAGCTGCCCTCGGCTCCCGATGGGCGGACACAGGGAGGGGCCCCCAGAAAGCCAACACTGGTCTGAGCAAGGGTGACACGCAACACAAAAACACTCCCGCTCTGTTTCCTTCCCCCACCCCGGCGCCCTGCAGACTCGCAATGCGGCCGCTGCGCCCAGGGCCCCGGCCAGCAGCCATGGACTCTGAGCCGTGGCCCTAGAAGTCTTGCAGACAGGGCGCTAGCTGCTGCATGTAGGGAAAGTTCAGAGAAAGCTCCTGATGTGGGTGTTACTCCCAGTTGAGGTACAAGGAAAGCGAGCGGCTTCCCCGGAAAGACGGGGAGCGAATGCCAGGCGGGAGGTCAAAGCTCTTCTCCTGACCCCAAAGCTGTGCATTTCTACTACAGTTCTGAGCTTTCTCCTCGATAAATAAAGATGGTTACTGCATTTCCAGATTTAAGCTGAGATATAGAATTCCACATGTTTCCAAAGCACAGAAGACTGTGGCAGAACCAAACAAACAAAAACAGAGGAATCAGGAAAACATAAACCCATAAAAGCAGCTGTGTGCTCGCTGCTCCTGTACGTCTTTATCAGCAACAACTCCAAACAGGAACGGGGTTGTTGGGGTCATGTGTCAACCAGAAGAACAGGACAGACACGCCGACCCTTAAGATCAACATTTCTTTCAACCCAGAGGACCCTGGACGTTGTGTGTGTCGCCCTTTGCGTGGGGCGACTTGTGCGGCTGCCACGAGCCGCCCACGGGACCTGGGTCTGTCCTGAGCACATGGCCTCGGCTGCCTCCCCGCCCATTCGGGCACCATCCACGCTTCCCTCATCTATACACTGCAGGGACCCGAGTCAGAACACCACCGATTCTGTCTTCCTAAACAAAAGGGCCCCTTGCACCTGCTCAGGGTGAGGCTGCCAGCACGTGGGCAGGGCCCAACAGGGGATTTGGGCCTCCTGCCCCTGCTCGCCGCACCCCTGGCCTCTCCACAGTGCAGTCTCTGCCTGCCCTGGTCTCGGGGCCTTGCCGGGTACTGGCCCAGAAACCCAACAGAGGAGCTGGTCAGTTCACCAGGTTCCTGACTGGTGGCAGGAGAACCCCAACTCCCCCATCTCCCGCCTGCCCGAGGCTGCTTTAGTGCCACAAACGTCTCCGCCACCCCACAACCCCACCCAACCTCAGCCCCGGATCCTCCCCCAAAAGGAAAACTCCGCACAGTGTATTTGTTTAATAGCAGGCAAGTTACACATGTTTTGTTTGCTGAGCACTCACACTCCTTGCCGAGCAGCCCTGGTATGTCTCAGGGTTGCTGGATGGGGCTCACCCCTTCACTGGGTAAGACTGACACATAACTAACACTGGACAGACTTAGTGTGGGTCACGTGACATCCTGACGCATGCACACTGTGAAGGGACCGCCACAAGCAAGCTAGTTAGCGCACCCATCCGCCCAGTCACTGTGCACGGTGAGAACACTTAATTAAGGAAGCTCCTTTGGGGCAAGTTTCACGCGTGTTACTCTTTGCCACATCGCTTTTCCGTTTCACGGTAAGAGAGAAGGGAAGGTGGCCGGGAGCCGTGTTTTGCATGGGGGCCCCAGCATTTCTGTCTGTCCAGCTCACTTGTCTTGTTCCTGCCCCACAGCTGAGCACGCGGATCCCGAGCCACGGAGACACGCCGTCCATGTACTGTGAGGCCAAGTGGGGGGCGAGCACCTACCAGTCTGTCAAACAGCAGCTATTCAAGGCGTTCCAGAAGGCCGGGCTGGGCACCTGGGTGAGGAAGCCGCCCGAGCAAGACCAGTTTCTACTGACTCTCTGAGCCACTGGACTCCCGTGCTCCCAGAGCAGGGCGAGCACCCGGACTGGGCAGGGCGTGCGTGCGCGTGCGTGGGGCAGCAGGCGATGCTCATTGGCTCCCCGCACCCATTTCCCTTTGGTGTTCTGGAAGCACGCGCATGGTCAGTGTTCCGTGGGCAACTAGACTCAAAGTAGGAGCTGCTCCCACGTTGTCAGAACCCAGACGCCCCCCAGACCTGAAGGCACAGGCACGGCCCAACGTCTCTCCCTGGTGTGTCCACGGGAAAGTTTCCGTTCAGGCTGAAGGGTCATCGGTGCGGTCTTGCCACGCGGTGCCTCGGGCGCCCCTCCCGCCTCCAGCGCCGCGTCCGGTTCTCAGTAGCACGATACTTCAGGAAAAGCCACAATGAAAAGAAAAGCCATGGGCTCCTCCCCAAAGAAGCCAACAGGACGCTCTACCAACCCCATTATTCACTTAAGTTTTTATTCCACCTCCTTTCAAAGCGGATCTGAGATGCGCAATATTGAAGAACCCCCTGAACTAGGACCAGAGAAATGAAGACCCTTTGCGCAGTGCGCCAGTGAGCTGAGACGTAGGACAAGGGGCTCCAGGACCGAGTGCTGCCGACCACTGCAAACTGCCGCACCCATCCCAGGCCCAGCGCAGGCTCCACGGCAGGTGCCCACGGCCACTGACCACGTCTGTGGCAGATGCATCTGAGGTTAGTGACCACCTGCACCTCCTCACCAGGTAACAAGGAAACAAGTCCCAGACCACGCCCTGTTTAGCTAAGTTTGCATCAGAGAGCAAGCCCAAAGAACATCCACAAATCCACAACAACCTCTCCTTGGGGCTGAGGAGCTACCAGATCTCCACTGCTTTAGGTTCCCTGGTCTCCATCTTGCATGATTGAAACAAATCACTCACAGCAGCTGCTGAGACGCAAGAGGCCAGATTCTGTCCCCTTCAGAGCAGGTGTCAGACACCCAGACCATTTGGGATCCAGCCCCTGGTACCCTCTCTAAGAGGACGGTGGGGCCGTACGGCCGAGCGTGGGAGGGGCAGGCACCCTCTCACAAGCCTTCAGTCTGTCCTGGTACCTTGAACTGTGCACTCTGACCACCAAGAACTCATCTCTAACACCCATCATGCTACTGACGGGCCTCTAATTTCTCTTGCAAAAGATCCACATCTGAAACTCACTGGGCCACATGGCCACGCTTCGGAGAGCCCGCTCTGGGGTAAGGGCTTCCTGGTGAGACTTCCAGCCGCCAGCCGTGGGTGCACACCCTGACAAGAACACGGGACTGCACACAGCCCAAGACGCGGGAGCATAACATCGAGCCGCACACATTCAAGGAGAGATTGCGGGTATGATAAGGAGGCAAAAATGAGCCAACATGAGTTTTAGATATTTGCTGTGGGACAAGAAGTAGAGGTGTTACTATGGAAACCAACTATTCTTGGGACTTCCTATAGGGTCAGATTTCTCCACAGACACAAGGTCGGTTCCCACTGGAACTGCTCCCGTTCTGAGCCCCTGCTTCTGTCCCTGCACTCCAAACAATACCCCTTCCAGAGCGAGGAGACAGCAAAAGCAGCAGCCGCCCCAGGACAGAGGCAGATGGGCCCATCCACACAAAGCACCGCAGGACCACCCGGACAACCGGACCGCAGGGACTTGGACCTACCCGATATCGGACACTCCCGTGATGCCTCAGCTGCAACTACTTGGTCACCGTTCATCTCGCCTGAGGCACTGGCCCTCCAGAAAAACCTAAACTCCACCAAAATATCTACTTCTGGAGAAAGTGTAGGGACTCGTCTGTTCAGTCAGCGGGGACATCCTGGAAGGAGAGGCGAAGGCTCGGCGCAGGAGCTTTGTCGCAAGTGGGCGTTTCCAAGGCAGCAGAAAGCGCATCTGAGAGGCTGAGCTTGGCGGGAGCTGCCTGTCCAGGAGCAGGGATGGAGAGGCACAAGGGACAGGGAAGGTGGCACGGCGGGGCCGGGTCACCAACAGGAGGCCAGGTCACAGGGCTCAGATGTGGTACCTGCCGTGGCTGGGGGGACAGGTGGTGCCGGCCCAGAGACGAGGTCGCAGGGGAGCCTGAGGATCTACTCTGGGCTTCAAAGCCCAAAAGAGCACCCAATGCTGCTGGAGGCCAGGCCAACGCTGCTGGAGGCCAGGCCAACCCTGCATTTTCAGGGTGGTCTGAGACCTGGGAGGAGCCCACAGGAGAACTCATAGGAGAGCGCAGCTCGGCATGTGACCGTGGGGCCACCTCCTGGCGCCCGAAGGCAACAGAGGCAAGACCCACAGAGCCGAGGCAGGGGCCTGCTGGTGCCTGTCCGCACATGGGTCAGATGCGGTGGCTCTGAGTCCTTAGTCTTCCCATGTCCTGTGCCGTGTCTGCACGTCAACCCAGCCCCGCTACTCAAGTCGAGATCAGGTCGACTCCACCGGTACCTGCCTCGAAGCACACACTGCCTTCCCTGAGGGGAGGTCAGCCGTGCACGGCCTCCCGCCTGGCTCTGGCCACAAGGTCAGTGTCCGCAAGCCCTTCCACAGCACGCAGCCCGAGGGGGAAGGTCACCGGCTGTGGAGCTCCACCTGCCCGTGCCTAGCACGCGGTTCCACTGCAAGGGACTGGAGCCAGGGCTTCTTTGGTTTTGGTTTCTGCCCAGGAAAGGATTTGCAGGTCTCTAACTATTGTTCCTTTTTATACCTGTGGGTCTCTTCAAGTCTGTATATACCTTCACGTCACTACTGATTTTGTGAGTCTTGCTGTTCCTTGGAAACGTCAAGTTGAGTTTCTCCCACATAATTTCTCATATAATTTCCTTTTCACAGGAAGCTGTTCTTATCAATAAAGTTAAATGGTTGTTTTGAGGGTTCTGGGTTTTTTTTGGTATAGCGTTTACCACGTCTGGAGAGCCATAAACAGTAAATACATGGTATATCGATGCCCAGAATAGAATAGTTAGAGTATTTTGATGAAATGCTATTTTTAGATTATAAATTTCAAGATGTGTCTATAGTATCTTGTTTTAAAAAATTTAAAAAGACATTTGAAACTTAGACATTTTTAATTTAGGGAAACTTCTACAACCATTTTTTAAGCCATTCTAATGAAATCATCTAATTGGCCCAAAACACAATAAATATTCCTTCCTAATAAAGACCAAAGGGAAGTCAGGACTACCACCTCTGTTGACAGAAGTTTCCGCTAACACTCAGCAGCCTTTGCTGGCTCATCCAGCACCTTCCCTGGTGGGGGTTGCGGAGCCGTAACCCCCGGGGTCAGGAAGGGCCACTGCCCGACACACTTGCAAAGGCTGTCCCAGCTTCAAGTTCTTGCGGAGCTCATGGACAGAGTGAAAGATTTAAAGCTCTGTGTTTCAGGAAAGGCGTACAATACCACCATCCGGCGGCACTTAGCGGGGACAAGCCGGAGGGTCTGGGGTCCCGCTGGGGTTCCGCGCCCTCCCAGGCACAGGGCCTCCTGTGTGGGAGTGGGGCCAGAGCTGGGGCGCGCTTGCCGCTGTCCACGGTCCTGCCCAAAGAGCTGTGTTGGCCATGCAGGGAGTTTGTGGGCTCCTGTCAAACGTCTCCCACAGATTCTGAGTCAGATAAAGGGTTGGGGGGGATGAAGAAGCAGAGACAGATGCAAAACATGCAGGTTGTTGGAGAGGTGGCCTGGAGCAGGGGGGCACCTCTCAGTTCTGGGAACCAGGAGATAGACACGCAACCCATCGCCACCATTTTTTACCTCCCAACAGGGCTGCCTCTGGTTTTCCCCGTCATCTTCCTCTCCCTCCCCTTCCTCTTCCCTGTTTGAGTGCCTGTTCCTCCCTGCCCTACACCTGTGATTCCCCGGTGCAGTCGAGAATCAGTCTCAGGACTGTGTACCCCTGAGCTCTGCCGTGCTGACCTCGAGGGTTCTTGTGACTTCCGGGCCAGGGGGATTTACCGGAGTCCTTTTTTGGACCCCTGGAACATGTCCATTAGTCTGAGCTCCCAACAAAGGGACACTGATGGCCAGGTCTCCAGAAAGTCAGAACAAACAACAGCACTCCCGCAGGGGACTGCAGACAGTGTCAGCCCCTGGAGAAAGAAATACCTTATTTCCCAGCTCATCGTTGCAAAATCAGACTTGCAGGGATGATAAAGATACAATGATCGGGATTCCACGGCCTCGTTTCACGCCGGCACTGGATTTCTACCACTCTGCAGGATATGCATCAATAAAAAACAAACAAAAAACACACTTTCCCAGCAGTGCCCAGTTAGTTTTCAACTAATTTTCAGCATTTTTTAAGCAAATGAACTTAATATATAGTAATTCTTAAGCAAAGGTATGTACATAAAAAGCATGAATGAATGGCAATATTGGATGTACATTTGTAATATTTGTAAAAAAATCCAAAACCTTAAAGTATTAATTTACATGTTAATTTCCCTCTAAGTTCTGTAAATCGCACTTCAGTGGTATCTGATAAGTGAATGTTTCTGTTAAGTGAATAAAAACATGGAGTAAAATTGTGCTTCCCTGGCTTGTTGGGCATCTTTCATCAAGCAGGGCTCTGGGGGTTCTCTGAATGCCACGTGGAGGTGTAGGGAGAGTTCCCAGAGGGCGCGCCCACTGCAAAGAAATGTCATGTCCACTCCAAAATTTTCTTCCTCCTACGATTACATGCATCAGCAGGCTCAGCAGGGTGAATAGCTACCCTTATGGCTCTCACGTCAACCAATAACCTGACTGTGGAGGGTGGGGACAACTGTCAGCCCCTGCCTCTGGGAGCCGCTAGCGGATCCACGGACTCAGAGGGTGACGGTGCTTTGAAAGGTTAATGCACTACAAATATTGAAGGTGTTCTGAGTCCCCCTCCCAAATTTGCCCTAGCATGTGAAATATAGGCATGGCTGACAGTCTCCTTGTGGAATACTAAGCCGGATGGATTCGGACCTAAAACATCATTCAGGCTGTTTACGGCCTCAGCCCTACAGGAATCTGCATGGG